GCCTCCTTCTTCCCGTGACTACGAACTTTGTTACAGTAGGTTTTAAAACCCTTGATTTTGAAGCAGACAAATGTAAAATTTGTATTTAGGTTTGAGACTCCTTGTGAAACCCCTGGTTTACAAATGCTGAATCCACTAATGGATTCCCCTAATGATCACCTAATGATCTTCTTGAATCCTCTAGTGAGCGGTTTCTGTCCGGCGAGGCTGACGGTCGTGCTGTCCCGTCGAGGATGTTCTTCTGATAAAGACTGCCCTGGAGGACACAAATGCTGTCGATTTGACTGTGGGCCTGTTTGCGTGCTGCCTGTTTTCAGTGAGTTTCAGTTAATAAAGAATCCATGTCTGAGGGGAACTTACTGTCTTTAGAAATAATAATGGATGCTACGGTAGGGTGACCATACGTGCCATTTTCCCAGGACGCATCCTGGCCAGGATTTGTTTTGGCTTGGTTTTCCTGTTTTCATGCTTGCTGACGGTAATGATCGAAAAGTAGTTTGACCAATAACATGCAAGCATTGTACATAATGGACCAATCGTGGCGTGTGAGAAGGTGGGATCTACGGTCAAAGCGATGCAATTACGCGTACATATTAGGTGTGTTCGACTTAAAAGCAGTGCGGCTCAGACTGATCAGTGTTTGACATCAAAGTACCTCGAGAGCGTTTAGAAATCCTAGCCAGGACGCGTCCTGGGAAAATGGCACGTATGGTCACCCTAAATCTGTATGGTACTTTGATGTCATACACCGATCGGTCTGCACACGCAAACAAAGCCAAACCTAGATATTTTAGGCAATATAGAAATCCTGGCAAGGACGCATCCTGGGAAAATGGCACGTATGGTAACCCTATGCTACGGTCCAAAAAAAGAGAAACGCACCCGATTAACACATTGAATTCAATGTAAGTTTTAAGCAGAGACTTTGCCTTTTGTTGTTCTCGTCTAAAGTAGTTTGAATTAATCCCTTAGGATAGTTAAGCACAGATTGGCTTTCCAAAATAAAGAGGAATAATACTTGGAATATAATTCACTGTAGGTAAAACTTGCTACTCATGCTTTGAGTGTTTCGTGCTGCATATAGAAGTGGCATATTGTCTATATGCACAAACTAAAGCTGACTATCTTTGTCTACGCAGTAAAGCCGGGTCAATGTCCCATACCGGAGTCGATTCCACTGTGTGCTGAAAGCTGTTTCCATGATGGCCAGTGTCCTGCCACACAAAAATGTTGCCCAACCACCGGTGGCTTTGCATGCAGTGAACCACGTGGTCAGGGAAGAGGTCAGGCAAGTTGCCAGGGAAGCGGCCAGGGCCAGGGAAGCGGCCAGGGCCAAGGTGAGGGAAGCGGCCAAGGTGAGGGAAGCGGTCAAGGCCAGGCAAGTGGCCAGGTAAGTGGCCAGGGCCAAGGTGAGGGCAGCGGCCAGGGCCAGGGAAGCGGCCAGGGAAGCGGCCATGGCCAGGGAAGCGGTCAGGGTAGTGGCCAGGGAAGCGGTTATGGCCAGGGAAGCGGTTATGGCCAGGGCAGCGGTCAGGGAAGCGGCCAGGGCAGCGGTCAGGGAAGCGGCCAGGGCCAGGGCAGCGGTCATGGC